GGGGGGAGGGGTATTATTTTCATAATTATATTTTCCTCCATTATTTTTATCAGCATAACAACAAGCGTTATTGCAATACAAACGTGATGCATACATACTTTATTATTTAAATACATTATATTATTAATTTGTTTGCATTCAGAATCTGGTTAGCTGTCTTATCTTAATGGTTTTAAAAATAGTTTCCATTTTCTTCATGCAAAATATAATTTCTGGTCACAATCACCAATAACAAACTCAATCCATGGTTATGTAAAAAAATCAAAATTAACTTTGGTCTAATGTTGGGAATAATTAAGATTTCTTTTTATGTTTTTGAAATGTTTTTTTAAATAACTTTGGTTGAAAGTTATGAATAAATCAGATATTTTAAAAGGTTTTTGAGAGAAGTCTCTTATGCTCAGTAAATTGAAAATACATTTATAATGTTACAAAAGATTTCTATTTCAAATAAATGCTGTTGTTTCAAATAAATGTTATTCATCAAGAATTAAAAAAAAAAAAAAGTATCATGGTTTCCACTAAAAATATCAAACAACTGTTTTCAACAATTATTTCTGAAGAATCATGTGACGCTGAAGACTGGAGTAATGATGCTGAAAATTAAGCGTTGCATCAAAGAAATAAATTACATTTTAAAATACATTCAAATAGAAATCATCTATTTTAATATGCAATATTTCACAATTTGTCTGTTTTTACTGTATTCTTGATCAAATAAATGCAGCCTTGGTGAGCAGAGGAGACTTTTTTCAAAGCATTAAAAAGGTAGTGTAAGTCCTGACCCTTAGAATTATACAAACTGATTTTTCTGATGCACCTATAAACAAGCAAGATAAGTCCTGTTTTCCAATAAATCTCCAATTTGATTTGTAAAATGTACAAGCATCATGTTTTAATATAATTAAGCATTTTTCATCCCTCTGTAGGTGTTACAACTGTGGAGGTCTGGACCACCACGCTAAAGAGTGTGGCCTTCCACCCCAGCCAAAGAAGTGTCACTACTGTCAGAGTGTCACACACATGGTGGCCCAGTGTCCCCACAAGAGGGCGCTGTCCCCCTCCACGTCTCAGGACCTCCAACGCCCCTCCACCTCCGCTCAGTCCCAGGAAGAGGGGAGCCGGTCGGGCTCGTCATCCTCTCCGGAGGAAGCATCTCAACGGGGGAGTCACTCCCAGCGCTGGAGGAAAAGCCGGGACTGAAAGCGACCGAAAGGTTCCTCATCCAGACGGAGCCCGGACCCGAAATCATCTACCTCACATGGCCGGGTCACCGAGGAGACCCTCCCTCCCTCCCTCCCTTCCCGTGCAGCTATGGTATCAGCCGATGGGGGTCATGCGTGTACATGCGTGTTCTCACTGAGCAATCACAACAAACTCTGCGACTGGCGTGTGTGCGTGTGTGTGTGTGTGTGTGTGTGTGTGCAAATGAGCGAGAGTGTGTTTGAAGTACTAAAAATCACAAGGCAAAACAGATTACACTTAGAAGAAAAACCTGAACCAGTGTTTTAAAAACTCAAGCATGAAGGCAACAGATGTTGCCGTTTGCAAGCCATTTTACCTCCATAATAGTGAAATGGGCTTTTGATTAAGTAAAAATGTTTGCCGTGTGCTGCATAAGTGACGTCAGTGAACTCATTTCAGAGGAAAAGCAAGTTAGCATGTTACCTTTGGGATAACATGCACAGATAAAATGTTCACGTTAAAGGAATAGTTCACCTAAAAATGAAAATCGGCTGAATATGTACCATCAGGCCATTCAAGATGTAGATGAGTTTGTTTCTTCATCAGAACAGATTAAGAGAAATGTAGCATTGCATCACTTGCTCACCAATGGATCCTCTGCAGTGAATGGGTGCCGTCAGAATGAGAGTTCAAACAGCTGATAAAAACATCACAGTAATCCACAAGTAACCCATCCACACCACTCCAGTCCATCAATTAATGTCTTGTGAAGTGAAAATCTGTGTTTGTAAGAAACAAATCCATCATTAAGACATTTTCAACGTCAAAACATTGCTCCCGGCTAAAATATGAGTCCTCTATTATTCCTCAATTATATGATTTCCTCCAGTGAAAAAGTAATCTCTTTTGAATTAAGAGAGAAATATGCACAGATCCAAGCAAAAACAATCCTAAATGTTTCTAAACAAATATGTGGGTGGATTTTTATGTGAGAGGACAACAGCGGAAGGACTTTTTTTTTTTTTTACTAGAAGAAGCGTTATTATCGATTATGGACTCTTATTTTGGCGAAAGCGATGGATTTCCACTTCACAAGATGTTAACTGGTGGACTGGAGTGGTGTGGATTACTTGTGGATTATTGTGATGTTTTTATCAGCTGTTTGGACTCTCATTCTGACGGCACCCATTCACTGCAGAGGATCTATTGGTGAACAAATGATGTGATGCTAAATTTCGCCAAATCTATTCCAATAAAGAAAAACTCCTCTACATTTTGGTTAGCCCGAGGGTGAGTAAATTTTCAGCATTTTTTTCCCTTTATTTCTATTCTTTTAAGATCAGGAACATGCATTAGGAAAGTAAATATGATCAAGTTTGATTTCATGTTGAGTTTAAACCAGATTCAGACATAATGACAAAGAAAACTTTGGGTTCTCTAGCATTTTGAATTGCTCGCAATCAGTGCCCACAGGGGCCAGCACAGATTTATTATGGCTGGGGGTGGTTATAGTCACGCTCACTACATCCTATCAATAACATTATTATGGGATACTGAGGAAATTTGAATCTGTTTTTGTGTGTGTGGGGGATGTTTTTACATATGGCTCTCAGATCTGGTGCTGTCAGCCAGAGTTTGAGATTAGACTGTAACAGTTGAAGACTAAGAGCTACATTAACTTCAGCCAGAGAGGACTAACTAACTGATTTAAACGTATTGCCAGACTGTTCCACAGCTCACAGTGATAATTTAAGGCATTAATATATGGTGAAATATTATAAATGCTAAAGTGTAATTTATATAGAGCACATAGGTAGATGAAGTTGATTCTTTTCGATGCCGTTTTGATTTGATCTCTCTCCTCCCTCATGCATCTCATGCAGCTTCACTGAAAGCGAAGGAAACAATGCTATGTTCAACACTGTCGGAATTACCGCAATGATAAAGCTTTTTTTCACCACAGAATAAAAAATACAAAAGGTATTTGCATCTTTTATCTTAAAATTCTGGCTTTTATTCTCAGAAATGTCAGGGGAAAAGTCAGAATTGTATGAGAAACAGTTGCAATTACTTTTATTTTGTTATTATAAATAAGCTTTCATAATGACAAGATACTGTCTTCAGAAAAGTTGTTCAACTCTGTCATACTCTGAATTACAAATAGGAAACTGAGTTTCATAAAAGCCTTATTTTTTCTCTCGTTGTGACATCATGTAAAAAGACCAAAAATGACGGTGGCCTTAAAAGTGATTTCTTTGTCCTCGGAAATGTTTCAAGAGTGTATATTGGTGAATTATTGTAATGGTTGGATGGTCATTGAAGCATTTTGCTATCATCAACAACTGATCATCAGCGCAGCCATCTGCTGTTTTGTTCTTCAGTAATTTGTTGTTCTGTTTCTTCCGGAACAACTAATAGACCTTAGTCAGGTTAGTGCCATTTCATTTCTGACAGGAATGAAAACGAGGAAGTACAGTGCATTCAGTGGATTGTACTGTAGTTTAACAAAATGCCAAATGTTCAGTTGACAAAACATCTTTCCATAGAAACTTTCAGGAGACAAAAGCGCCATAAAACAGTTTTGAAAGAAGTGTATTTTGAAATTGCCGGGTTCAAACTCTAGTTGATCAAGAACGTTTATATCGAGCTTTGTGAGCCCGCTGATCCTCATTTAAACCAGGTTGGATTTGTTTGGTTTTGTCAACTCTAAACCTACTCTGAAACTCTGAGTTGGTTCGTCTCGCTTCGTGGTACAGGCTACAGTTGTTTCACAGTCAAAAAAAAAAGAATTGGATGAGACGGAATAGAAAACTACTGGAGACAGTAACAACAATAGACAGTGACTGTGTAAGTTTAAACGAATACAAAAAACATTTTTATCGCTCTTAAGGGCTATGCGTTTTTTCTGTATGCATGCGCTATACTTGAGCAGTTGAATCTCCCGCTTGTCATTACGGTAATTCCGACATAATGTAAACAGCATTATACCAACAACTCCACAGCAACATTTAAAGGGTTAGTTCACCCAAAAATGAAAAAAATTAAAAAATTACTCACCCTCGTGTTGTTCCAAACCCGTAAGACCTTCGTTCATCTTCGTCACTTTGGACACACGTTCACGACAGTATCATGACATCATGTGTGATGTGTGATGACATCATTACGCCGGATCTGGGTCAGCGCCGCCACACACTCGCGTCATGATACTGTTGTGAACGCGTGTCTAAAGTGACGCAGTAGAGACGAAAACGTGGAATAAATTTGTTATTTTAGTTTTCTTTGCGCAAAAAAGTATTCTCGTAGCTTCGTAACTTTACAGTTGAACCACTGATGTCACACGGACTACTTTGTCGATCATCTTGGTACTTTTCTGGACCTTGAACGTGGTAGTTACCTTGCTGTCTATGGGAGGGTCAGAGAGCCCTCAGATTTCATCAAAAATATCTTAAATTGTGTTCCGAAGATGAAGGTCTTACGGGTTTGGAACAACATGAGGGTAATTAATGACAGAATTTTCATTTTTGGGTGAACTAACCCTTTAAGACCACTCGGCAGAATTCAGCAGTTGACTGATGTGTATTTTTGATCTTTTTGATTTTGCCTTGTTTTCAGTGATTGTCAAAGACTTGTAGAATATTGACTAAAATACCGTTCAGTTTGGCCTTTTTAAAATAATAGTCTATTCTTGTCTTTATGAAGCTGACCATTTAAGCTTCATCAACTCAAAATCAGTCTTGTGTCCATGCTAATGTACTCCTAAACAAGTTGTTGCAGTGCATATGTTGCATACAAAATTTTTTTGTCACAGGGTCCAGTAAAAAAAAAAAAAAATCACATTGCTCGCTTTTTCTCCCATTCAGCTAATGAGTGTAGAAGCCTTAGATAGATCTGATCATTTAAAGCTGCTGGCAGAGATGTGAAAGTTAAAAGCAAATCTGCTACAATCATCCATTGAACAGTGAACAACTGAACAAAAGTGCACTTGAACAAAGTAAGCATTGTTTACCCAGAATGCCATGCTGTGGAGATTTGCTGTTTAATGTCTCAAAGTCATTGAAAGCTCCAGTGACTGCCAGCAATAATTTCAGCCCCTTTTCATTCTGTCGACCTTAAATACTGATGAACTTTAGAAATCCAAGAGAAGATTTTCAGTAACACAGAAGGGTTTATAGAGAGTTACGGCAGCGTTTCATCTCCTAGACGTCTCTCATTTTGTCCTGATCTGGAGGGAATGGGAGGGTGAATCTCATGAGACAGCAGTCATATTTGACCTCAAAAGAAAGAAATGATGAATTGATAAATGTTTTTTTTTTTTTTTTTTTATGAAAACTTTATAAAGCATATTTTACAATTGTAAGACATTATTTTCTTTGTAATTAAGCATTTCTCCTCACTTTAATGTCAACAAATCTCATTCTCATTACTGTAATAATGAAATGAAATTACTGAAATAATATTTAATAATAAATAATATAAAAATTTAAATATTTAATTTCTAAAGTGTTTATACTTCACGGTAGTGTTGCTGATTTGAATAAAATCATTTTATTGCAGTATTTTGCAGTAAAACCATGAATTACAGTAATGTGAATACATGAGAATAATAACAAAATAATAATAATTATTATTTTTTTAATCAAAGTAATGACTATTTGGAGTGAAAATATGCTTCTTTTTCTTCACATAAATCTTAATTTGTGACCCTGGAGCACAAAAGCAGTCTTAAGTCGCTGGGGTATATTTGTAGCAATAGCCAACA